GCGGTGAGTCGTGCGAGTGTGAGCAGAGCATGATGGTACGTATAGGTAGGTAATCCCTTCATACCTTTTATAGAACAAGATCACAAAGTGTTTCACAAAAAGAAAAGTAATAAGAAATAAGAAATAAGAAAACAGTAAAAGAAACATAGAATAAAACAAAAGCACTGGACAGGGTGAAGTGACACCGAGTCCAGTTTAAATAATTGAGCCTTCTGCTACTTTTTAAAGGCCTAAACAGAGGCCACAGATCGAATGTCCAAAGGGAAAGGGTTCCACATTGCCGCTGACCCCACTTCAAGGGCACAGTAAACTTTTGTTTCCAGTAGAACTCGAGAGACAACCAGTAAAGACCCAAGTGACCTAGATGACAATGGAGCAGGACAGGAATGTACCACGCAGGGCTCTATATGCGAAAACAAGAAGCTCAAAATGAATCCCGATGGGAAGCCAATGTAAAGAAGATGCACGTGAGATCAACAGCCTTTGCAGCAAAGTCGCATTGTTTGAATAGATTCCACCACTTTGATATATGAAACACAGAGTTAACAGGGCGACCGGTTTATGAGATTTGGGCATTCTATTGTGGTTGACTTGGGTCACCAAATGCTTTTTCCAATATGTATTACTTCAAAGCTACCTGCAGCTTTGAAGCTATAAAGTCTCACTGCTGAAGTGTTTATATGGTGTAAAATAATGTTAAAACTAACATTTACTATTCAGTGGCTGTTGTGTTGAAGCTTGCTACCTTTAAGTAATGTAAAATGACTTTCATATAGCAAAATTGAGATCATCCATGTAGCAAATAACAAATACACTCAAACGTTCCCTGCACGGTTGTTTGTTTCAGTTTACACTCAACAATGAGGTGATTCTCTGAATGTTATGCACAACACTTCAGCTTTAAAGCAATAATCAGAATAATGTAATGCACAATAAAAACATATTGTTGTTGGACACAATGCAAGAGTGATCATGAATTACCTGTGTAGGAGATTAAAGGTAGATATGTGAGGGAGAAATAATATCAAGGCTTAAAGACGGCAGCAGTTCAGTAGAAGCAGTTGTGTTTTGAGTCTCTGATTTTGACTTTGAAATGAGTGCAGAGGAGGAAAAGGTCGTCCCGTAGATTTAGGGATTAGAGCAGCTGCTGGGCGAATCCCAGTCCACATCTGCTGCCTGCCGTCCTGCCTGCTAACACACCTCTGGCTCCTCAGCAACACTTTGGATGCCAACTGATCCTGAATCAGTCCACGGGCAGCAGATTTCATGTGTTTGTCTGCAATAACGTTTGCTTTGCTTTCTGTTGGCGTGTGTTAAAGCGGTCAAATCTGAATCACTGAGCGGAATAGTTTGTCCGTAGCAAAAAAAAAACAACATAATTTAGTTCAATCATGTTTTCAAATAAATAATGACAGCAGATCCGTAATAATGTAGGATTTCTGTGGTTGAGAGAGTTCACAGACTGGATCCTTTTAGCAATTTAGGCAACAAATAAGCGAGGAAATGAAAGCACTGACTTGTTTATCATGATGACTAGATTCTCGTAAATTCATTACCTGGAACCTCCGGGACAAATAAAGTTTCAGGAATACAGTCATTGAGTTCCCTCCTGTGAGTACAACAAAACTTCTGCGTTGTGGTATCAGACCAAATGGCATTGTTAGGTTGTTTATGTGTGTCACAAAATAACAATGGCATGCAGTGTTATGAGCAGTCCAGAACACCTACAGCGTGTAATCGCTATGCATACATCTTGTAAACAAGAACAGCACTAATTAAAATGTTAATGGATGCTTGCTGTTTAAGTTCAATCTCATCAAGTCTGTGAAATATGTCACTGCAAAGCATGATTTGTATAATGGACGACTCCTCAAGAAGACAATAATGGTCTGACCAACAAATCCTTCGTCTTTGCTGGATATATTTCCATAATCGTAGGAAGTGTAAACTGTGGAAGTATCAGATTATCATAAACGTGTTTGTGAAAAAGGCAGTGATTTGAAGCCCAAAGCCCCTCTACCATAACATATGGAAATGAGCCGTTTAATCATATTTTGATCTCGGCCCCAGCATGGAAGAGGAGATTCTCTCAGGTGGAAAAGCTATTTGATTGCTGTTTTCCAATGAGGGAACATTTGGCTCGCAGCCAAACTGCTAATGATTTACAGGTTATTACGTGACATTATGATGGTTGTTTGTCGTTGCGCGTGCAGCTGATTCACTGAAGTCCCATTAGCGATTTAAGAGTCCAATAAATGATGATGGAGTTCAAGGGCAGAATTTCAATTTAGACTTTCTTTTGTGGAGACACCTGTTAAGTTCTACTCTACAGTATAGTCTTCAAAAGTGAGAGTTGTGTTCTTAATAACTCACTTTTCACTTGTGCCTTCACTGCATATACCTGGGTTCCCAGCATGCACAAAGGAAGTCCAACACATGGACAAGAAACTAAAACAGTTCTATCAAATTCACCCCAAAGAGTCCAGGCTAGTGGCTCAGTGACGATCACAAACGTCATTAGGACACATCATCAAGGACCATGTGTTTCTGCACAAAGTTGAGTCATAAGATACGTGGAAAGTTTGCCCTGCTGGTGGCGCTAGAGGAAAAGTCAGAGGATCGCCAAAGTCAATAGGCTTCGCCTGTCGGGGAACTTGAACATCTGAACCAAATGTGATAGCAATCCGTTCAACAGTTGAGGCATTTACGACCAACAGCGGGACATTGACATCCCTTAAGCGACGCCCCTACAGCATGGCTAAAAACAACAGGTCGGTAATAAAAGAAAAAGACAAACGCAAACAAGAATTGTGGGAGCTTTTGGTTAAACTGTCACCAAACAGTCATGTTGCAGATTACATTCATCTGGAATTATCTTGAGACACTTTCGCACAAACCACAATAAAGATGATCAGTCAAAAACCCTTCTTGGGATATCTTCACGTCAAACCAGATAGAAGTTCTGCATGAATATAGATCGTATCTTAGACACAAGCAACAAATCCTGCTGCTTTTGTCCTCATCAGAAAAGATCAATGTGTAAAATTGTTCTCATGCAGCGAAAGTGCAGACACAATCCCATCTGTGTTCTTCTATCATGAATCTAATACCTGTTAACACAACAGGACTGCAAATGAGGAGAAACCCCGTTGTAGCATATGTGCATACAGACAACAGAAGCTCGTGAGATTGAAGCCGTTAACATGTGAAGATGAAGTCATTAACGGTAATGCTAACAACTGCATCTCATTTCCGACTGTGGTCCTGTCATTGTCAGAGCTCACGTTCAGGTGCAGATTCACCGATTTCACCCAATATGCTGAGAGTCATGATTTGCTTTTCCACTCCGTGACACACTGATATCAGCGGCATCAATCTGCGGCCTTCCTGCAGAAGGCTAGTTATTACTTCAGATCAGTCAGCCTTTTCCATTCCATTGATGGATACATCTGGAGAATTGTCAACACACACATGGGCAGATTATTGGTGATAACCACCTTCACACTTGAGTGGTTGACAGAGTGGTATGACATTAGGATGGATGGGCTGCCATCTCTATCTGACTCTGGATTTGCATATTATATTGTACGGTATGCTTTGCTTTTGCATTTAAAGGCCCTGAAAACTTACATTCTTATGTGTTCTTACTGTATACCAGTGGTGGGCCGTCAGGGCCTGCAAGGCCTTCTCTGCTGGCCTAAACAGAATCACATTTTATAATTTAATAATTTTTCTTAAATACACTATGTATTATAATTTATAAAAATATTTTTCCCATTATCTTATTTTCTCATTGCACAGCTACTGTCTTCCTCAGTTGCTCTGCTTCCAGTGCAGCTTGTTTTAAGTAGAGCTTTTATCCAATCAGATTTCACCTCTGTGTCTCTAGGTAAGAACAGAGACCCAGGCCTGCAGACTCAAGTGCATCCAGTGCAGTTTAAGTGAATGGGGACGATATTGTTGATTGTCATATTCTTCAACCAATCAGATCTTTAGTTTGACATGTTGGGCGTATTCTTTGACGTATCAGAGCCTGCTAGCCGGCCTATAATGACGTCAGCATTACGTGCAGCTCAGTGTCCATGTGCAGCTCTGCCGCGAGGTGCAGGGGGCGTTGTGATTGGTCAGTGGGCGAGCACGTGACTATCATGAAACGAAACTTAACAGCAGAGGCTTAGTCGGGTAGTGAATCACATCACGTGATGCAGCTCAGCCAATCAAATATGGGCATTCTGACTCGAGTGAGATGTACCACACACCATGACACAGGGGGCTGACGAGGAAACACACTGCTGAGCAGTACGTACAATGTTCAAGTTGTGAAAGTAAAATCATAAGACAATCTCTTTGGGCCATGACTTGTCATTAAGGAATGATGGTGGATCCCACAGCCAGACCAGCTGAGAACCACAGTCCTCCATGAGCGCAGTAAACATTATATTTTCCTGAATATAAGCTTCTGCATTTTCCAAATGCTCTAGTACTATTCAAACGTATTGCAAGTCCTGCGACAGAAACACAAAAACAAACAGCACGTACAGTCAGAGTCCAGATGATCACCTTCTTACAAAATTAAAGACCAAGAGATAGTTGAAGCACATAACTCACTTAAAACAACAAACTTAGTTTTGTGTCATGTTTTTAACTGTTGAAACGGTTAACTTCAGCCCTACCATGTGCTACCTGCAGGTTCACTGTATTTCATAAAATCATTTTTACCTTTGTGATGTGTTCAGATAAATCAACAAGATGTCTGATATGAATCATATGCATTAGTTCAACTTGTACTTAACTTATGTCCTTGACAGGCTTTGGGGTGTGTATGGGAGAGACAACTGGGACAAATATGATGAGGGTCACATGACTGACTGTCAGCAAAAAGCCAGACTACTCCATGTAAACCAGAGGGAGGAAACAAAACCTCACCAGTTAAGAGGCGGAGCTACACTGTGAAGAAAAGAGCTTCAACGTCACACTCCAGAAATGAAAGTTAAGTTTGTCAGAGTGGCAGACACACTGCAGTAAAGACAAGTCTCTGTTTTTCTCTCAAAGAAAAGTCAAAGTGACTTCATCAGGTCTTTCTCAACAACACAGCAGAGTCTCTTCCAAACACTGGTGAGTACAGCTGATCATATTTACACTTTCAACAACCAGGATTAACACAAAACCTTAACTTTACTCAGGCAGGAAGTTCCACACTTTTCACTTCATACTTGATCAATTGTTCACAATATAACTGTCTGTTTGTCCACAGTCCCACTATACAGTAACTCACTTTAACAGCTTTGAACAGTCTCAGGACTTTAGGAACTTGTAGCTGAATCTCTGTGGTTTTAACTTTAGTCTCGTTGCTACTTTCCTGCTCACTGATCACTTCCTACATTCTGCTTCATGTCTTTCCTCTAGCTCTTTCACATTAAAAGCTTTCCACCAGAGAACCAGTGGGAGGCTTTTAATGTGAAGCAGCTTTGAAATATGATGCGTTTGTCATCAGGTAAGCTGAGCTTTTAATAGCAGTGCTATAATTTAACTGTTTTGAGAGAGTAGCGATCTTATAAACACGAATTGAATGATCTCGTTTCTCACGGCTCGGTCCAAACACATTTTATATCATTACAACATTTCTAATATCTTGTGTTATACTTATAAGAACGGTAATCACACTGGTTTCTGTTCAAACGAATATTTAAAACTAAATGTTTTTCTTTTCTTCCACTCTGTGTAGACATGGCTGCTGCAAACTATCTGTTATCTGAAGATCAGTTTCTGTGCTCCATCTGTCTGGATGTGTTCACTGATCCAGTCACCACATCATGTGGACACAACTTCTGTAAAAACTGCATTAATGAACACTGGAATACTAGTGGCCAGCACATGTGTCCATTGTGTACAAAGGTTTTTATCTCAAGACCTGAACTGCACGTCAACACTTTACTCTCTGAGATGGTTGCTCAGTTCAGACAGTCAGCTCAACAGAAAACCAGCAGCTCAGAGCAACAAGAGTCCAAACCAGGAGAAGTTCCCTGTGACTTCTGCACTGGAACCAACTTGAAGGCCCTGAAGTCCTGCCTGGTGTGTCTGGCCTCCTACTGTGAGACTCACCTGGAGCCTCATCTGACAATGCCAGGCCTGAAAAGACATCAGCTGATCGACCCTGTGGAGAACCTGGAAGACAGGATGTGTACGAAGCACAATAAACCTCTGGAGCTGTTCTGTAAGACTGACCAGACATGTATCTGCACGCTTTGTCCCGTTTTAGATCATAAGATGCACGAGTTTGTTCCTCTGAAAGAAGAATATAAAGGAAAGAAGTTCGAGCTGGAGAAAATAGAGGCTGAAATTCAGCAGATGATCCAGAAGAGACGACTGAAGATTCAGGAGATCAAACACTCAGTCGATCTCAGTGAGGAAGATGCAGACAGAGAGATAGCAGAAGGTGTTCAGGTCTTCACTGATCTGAAGAAGTCTGTTGAGAGAAGACTGAATGAGCTCATCAAAACAATTGAAGAGAAGCAGAGAACAACAGAAAAACAGGCTGCAGACTCCATCAAAGAGCTGGAACAGGAAATCTCTGAGCTGAGGAAGAGAAGCACTGAGGTGGTTCAGCTCTCACTCTCTGAAGACCACCTCCATCTTCATCAGAGTGTTCAGTCCTCAAACATCCACCATCCGCCACCCACCAAGGACTGGACAAAGGTCAGCATCACTCCGGCATCATATGAGGGGACTGTGGTGAGAGCTGTGTCTCAGCTGGAGGAGACGCTCAGTAAAAAGATAAAGAAGCTGGTTAAAGCTGAGCTGAAGAGGGTCCAGAAGTTTGCAGTGGATGTGACTCTTGATCCTGATACAGCTCATCCTGAACTCATCCTGTCTGCTGATGGGAAACAAGTCAAACGTGGTGATGTGAAGAATAATCTCTCAAACAATCCAGAGAGATTTTCTCTCGAACCCTGTGTTTTAGGAAAGCAGAGTTTGTCTTCTGGCAGATTTTACTTTGAGGTTCAAGTTAAAGGAAAGACTGAGTGGGATTTAGGAGTGGTCAGAGAGTCGATCAACAGAAAGGAAGTTATCGCACTGAACCCTCAGAATGGTTACTGGACTGTATGGTTGACAAATGGAAATGAGTACAGAGCTCTTGATGCACCGTCAGTCCGTCTCTCTCTGAAGTCTCACCTTCAGAAGGTGGGGGTGTTTGTGGATTATGAGGAGGGTCTGGTCTCCTTCTATGACGTTGATGCTACAGCTCTTATCTACTCCTTCACTGGCTGCTTCTTCAAAGAGAAACTCTTCCCATACTTCAGTCCTAGTCATAAATATGGTGTCAAAAACGCAGCACCTCTGATCATCTCTCCTGTCAGAGTAAACTGAGCAATGAGCTGACTTGAGCATCGAACACTGAACAGGAAAGCCTGGTTTACACATAAGTTGTATTTCATGACAAATAAATAGTTTCCTCTGAATCTTTCACAATTAAAAGATTTTTACAAACATACAAGAGTTTACAAAATATGTTTTTTTCATAAATCAATAATAATGTTAATGTTAACGCATTATTAATAATGTTAAGGTTTGGACTGCTGGGGGAACAAAGCAAACATTGTGAAAGTGTCACTTTGTGTTTCTGGGTAATTGTGACGGCAGATTGTTGAAATATTGTTAGCAGTGTTTTACACTTGAGGGGGGATGAATCCGGAGGGCGACACCAACTAAAAACCTGGCGTAAATGAATGAGTGTTTGAGTGATAAAGTGTTCATAAAGTTTGCAGATTTTTGAGAGACAGATATGACTACGCTTCCCATGATGCAACTGGATGGTGATTATTTGATAGAACCTCCTTATTTCATAAACACTTTTGCCCCGTGTTCTAACACAGACAATCATCAGGGTTCACCTTTAAATCTTGGTTTGCTTTTGGTAAAAAGTTGAACCTAGAATGTATGTTAGGTGCGTTAGATATTAAAAAGATTTTACCTTTCAAACAACACCTCTTCAAATTCCTTTAACGTGCAGACAGTAAAAAAAACGGTCAGATCAATTCTTGATCATTTAAAGTCATCTGCCATCCAACATTTGTTAGAAATTCCCAGAATTGATTCTACTCACAGAGACAATGTGGCGCTCTGCAATTTAAGATTAAATCAAGACGGGGATGAAAGCTCTGAAATACTGCGTATTGATTGACTTGAGAGAGGAAAATGAATAAAAGCCTCAGACAAGGAGCTAAAATGATTTCTAATTCAGTTGGAAGAGGTGCTAAAGATTTCCCATTGCAGCCTCTCAGCTCACGCTTACGGTTTTACACGAAACCTTTGATGGCGGAACATTTACAGTAAAGCTTTCTAATGTTAGAAGAGTTGCACAGAATAATAATATTCAACCAACAGTAAAAAAAATAATAAAAAATGGTTTAAATAAAACCACTTTGAATTATGTTTGTGTTTGAATGTGTGGCAATTATAGAGGGATGTGAGATGAATACATCCGTGTTAAGATTTTCATGAGCTGCCTGTTGTTGGTGTCATTGTGTGATTATATGTGGGAGTAGAATGTGTGCTACCGAGCATGTACACACACATGCATAGATTTCACCGAGAGCTAATCCAATTCCCTTTGCAAAATCTGCATAAAGATTATGTACGTTTCTTTTTGAGGTCACACATATTTATCTACAGAAACAGGGAGTGTGTGACACAACACTGCTTTAATGAAAGCCTCAGTTTGTCTCACACAGATAAGACTTAAGTATTCAGGTCACATTGTTGAAATGTTGCAGTGTTGGGGGGAAGAAACACAGTACGTTATGACAGCAGACTGTGTTTGGTATCAATGGGTTACAATAGTGTGTTGTGTAATTAGACAATGTGTGATAATCTGTCATATGTATTAATTTATTTCATAAGTGTGTGAGGTGAATATTTGCCAGTAGGGCTCTCAGATCTCGTGATGATTAAAGCGCATTGGAATAAAAGTCACAAAACGCAAACAATACCTTCATATCTGCTCGTGAGTGCAAGATTTGCTCTGCAAGGGGAACCTGCTGTGGTGCAAAGTATGACATCTCCTTCATGTGTTTTTGACTTATTCACAAGAAGGTGTCAAGACAAAGAAACAGAGATGCTGTCATGGTGACTCGATGTCGCGGCAGAGGCACCGCTGATGTCTTTGTGCGCTTGCACTTTAACGAAATACTGACACCAGCTGAGCTGTCAGGCCTCCTCCTTCTCTGCTTCATCAGTAACTTTGCCAGCTGGCAGACGGAAGAAAAGAGAGGAAAACACAGACAAATGAGATTCTTACAGGCCCACGACACAGATCATTACAGTAATGGCTTTGTGAAGTCACTCTTCAGTCAGTTATTGTGCCATATGGTAACTGTTTTACTGGCAAGAGTGGACTGGAAAACACTGCAAGGTTCAACACATCCCTCAACAGTACAGAACTTTTCCATATTTGCACATTTCTAAACTCAATATCCTGCAGCAGCATGTACCAAACAAGGATCAGTCCATCAGGGAAGAAATGTTTATCATATGTTAAACAAATATCATATACAAACTTTCACTTTATTCATAAAGACTAAAATCACATGCATCTTCTAGTGGAGCAGCTAAATTCATTCCTCGATGTAGCTAGCAAGCTAACGACTACACATGCTCACAACACGTCTTTGAGCTTCGCTCTACTTTCAATAGTTTGCCGTTAATTCCCACAGGCATTTTGTTTTCAGGATTTAAGATTATTTCATTCGATAAAGATTTCTTAAAGTGAAAGGGTGCTTCTTGAGCTAGCGAGCTTGCTAAATGTCAAAGCGCTAATAGGACCAAATGTTGACACAGTGAATTCAAAAGATGTATTATTATTGTACCATTGGCTAATGTCTCAAACGATTCCTTTATTGCGAAGCAGTTTATCTACTAAGACAGAGCAATTGAAATAAAAAGTGGATGGTAACAGCTAAAACTACAACAGTTTCTTCCATTTTGGACTCACTACTCATCTACCAATGAAGAGTGATCACTCTTAGATCAGAAAAGCATGTTAAAAAGGATATGTATGCTTAAAGAAATGAAAATAAAGCTTGAACAAACAGCCACACTTAAGGGAAACAGTAGGTTAAATGGATGTGACCTCATACAGTAGCACCAAAACATCACTTTTTAACCTAAGTGACAATGTACTGATAGTAAAACTAGGAGTAAGCTATGTGCGGTTCCAGTGTGACAGCGGTGAAAGCCTTTTTCCTGCAGTGTGCATTAGCAGAGACGCGACAGAAGGACCTTTGATGATAGATATAAAGAGAGCCGAGAGCGTGACGGGAGATAAAAGTGTGTCTGACTTATTCCACATTGCTTGAAGGATAAAAACAATTGCTTCACATCTCGGGAAAATAAGCCCAAATAACTTTCTTGTGATGACAATTTACACAAGACAAAAGCTGTGATACACGTCTGACTACACAGACCGACAGGATTTGTTCTATATTAAACTGTAAAATTAGACTATTGTGATTTCTTATTAGCTGGAGAAGTTTTGCATGATTTGACGGCACTCACTTCTGAAATCAAAACAGCCTTTTATCAAGTCTTTTTTAAGATAAAGACTCTTACATCCTACCCCCCCCCCCCTTCAGCTGTGGTATCCTCAATGGCCCAGCAGTTCTCATGTATGATGTTGATGAGAAAAATCACGTCACTGTCATCTGTACTGTAAGAGCGATGGATTGCAGAGAGCTCTCTACTAAACGAGGGGTTAAATTAAAACGCGAGATGAATAGCCACACTGGCTGCGGCAGAGTTGTTGCCATGGTGACCACTTTAATGGCAAATGATGGTGATGAACCTGAATATGCATCCCTGGGCTATCTCATGCTAATACATGAAGACGGTGCAGGAGAGAAAGCCAGGAGAAACATTCACAAAGCATGCAGGGAAAACAAATAATGAAATGTCAAAGACTAGCAAACAGACACATTTGTCTCCACGACTCTGAGACGATGTTTCCCAAAAGATTTCCTGTTTTCCGTTGATAGACGTACACATCTACTCATGCAAGAGATTTAACAGATATCGAGAGAACGAGAATGTTTTTCTTCAGCCGACGTCTGTCTGCGCAGTGAAAATATGTCAAGTGATGATACCATCAATCCATGAACTTTATTCTCTCAGCAGATTATGTCTTTGAGTGTGGAAGTTACTTCTTTACTGCTTTTCCATCCGCCCACATAAAAACTTCTCATGACCCACTTGGTAATCCATCATCGTATTTGGCTCTTTAGTTTCTGCGATCGGAATACTTCTCTAACATTATGAGCAGGATTTCCTGGCACTGGTAAATCTAATGATTCCACAAAATACACACAAATGTAAAGCTCTTGACTCTGAGAAGTGTCACTCTGTGTAATCCAGTGTATTTAACATTATTATTACAACAAATTAACTTTTCAGCTTTCAAATTTTAAGCAAACAACCAGAACAAATGTCCATGTGATTAGGCAAGGAAGGGTCTTAGTTTTGAGTTTAGGAGCTTTTCTTGTGACTAAGTTTTTCCGTTGCATCCACAAAAAAACAATTGTTTTCATGTTTTGTCATTTCATTTCAGATTGGCCCCGTTCCCTCTGCGAGGTTTCTTCTAATTGGATGAAAATAAGCGATGATGCTTTTGAATAGTTTGTGCAATATTTTCCGTCTGAACTGAGAAGTATTCATAACATGGTGTGACTATGAGTGCACACAGATGAAAAGGGTGAGATGTTTCAATGTCACAGCAACCTGATTAGTACGAGGAGGAAGTCATTTTGAAGTAGACTTCTCATATCAGAGGATCAGCTTCATTTGGTAATAACGTGCACACGCATCGACACAAAGCAGTTTATTTGGGTAACCAGATACATCCAGGTTCAAAGATTGGTTCACACCAAGATAATGAGTCTACATTATCTCATCCACATCACATCACCTCCTCATGACTTTACATGTGCACAAAGCACTGCAGATAATCACATCTTCAGGCACATTGCCATGTGAAACTACGTGTGCAGTTACCCAAAAGCTGAGGAAAGTCAATTAGTTTGGAGGACATAATATTACAAACATTTTTTAAGATAACAAAATTGAAGTGCAACAGCACAAAGAGCTACGTCCTCCAAAATGAGGGTCAAGTTGGATCAACACCTCTCTAAATTGTTGATTAAACTGGCAACTTTTTATGAGACAGATTTTTGCACAATCTGTGATTCGGTTTAGTTGAATTCAATTTGCTTTTCTAAATTCCATAAAAGAGATTTGGGTGTCAAATAAACAACTTCAAATCATGTTAATCCTTGAACTAAAATAATACATTAGGTTGACTGGCAATGACAAAAACAATCTCAAAGTAAAATCTTACATTAGTAAGTTAATGTACATCAACGACATAGTAAAATAGATTCTTAACTATTACATTTTGTCCTTTGCTGGATGAGCCGGCACTGTTACAACACACGTCAGTGACTCCTTCAGCGCTACTGTACACAGCTTCAGAAGAAAACATCCTCCGTTACACTCGCTTTGATAGGATTAGTGCAAAGCTGTAGGCAGGAATGTGGAAAACCCTATTTTACATAATGTGTTTCTGTGCGTGAGATTTTTCTGAATTCACATGTGGGAGCTTTAATGAAATGTTTACACCAACACCACTTACACCTCCTCACGGACACGCGATCAATGGCGATACCTGCCTCCTGTGGGAGTTGGCGCAGTGAGATTTTGCCAGAGTGAGCAGTATATTGAGTTCTTTCAGTGGCTTGATAACGACCGGTAGCTACAGTCACAGCCGCCAGCTTGACAAAATGATAAAACTGTGTCCTACTTTCACTTTTTTCTCCCAAACACTACTTATGAAAAGTAGTGTTTGATAAGACCGTGGCCTTCCTCAGCCATTCTTATCCTCCGCTCCCTAGCCATGCAGCCATGGTTTTTCCCCCCAAATGAAATTATTTTCTTTTGTGTCCTGGTAATATATTCATAGCACAGGAAAACAAGCAGAGGATCAAGATCAAGCGGCCCAGAGAATATCAAATGGAATATATTCATGGGGCTGTGTGGGTTCTCTCTGACAAAAAAAATGAATAAATCAAGCATATTTTATATAGGACACACCCTAACCCTACTGCGGGGCTGTCACTTTAAGTTCTAAAAGAAAACGACAAGCTTACCTCGTCATGTCGACACCTGCTGCGTTGATTGGGAGAGATTTTATTCCAGAGACGTCCCCGAGTCTGGTTTTATACTCATGTAAAAATCGAAAGAAATAAAAGATCATTATTCTTGTTGTTTTTATCACTTTAGGCGAGAGGATTTGGAAGCATATAAACATTATACAGAGATGAACAGTTTACTGTCCGTCTTTATTCTATATCATTTGTCAAATAAGGATGTGCATGAATATGTACAGTAAGTAAAAGGTACGTAGGCCTGCATTATATAACATAAGATTTGCATTTGATTGCCTTAAATAAGTATTAATGATATCAGTTCGTAGTTTAGGTGTTCCCAAATAATATCATAAGCAAATGAAACGTCAGTGAGAGAGCAGCAATTATTAAGTATTGTGAATATTTATGAATGTTTTGAATCAAAATTCTACACTGCTATAAGCAGATATTAATGCATTGTAAGTATGTTTATAATGCGTTGACATGGGGCTCTTTGAAAGTGTGCTGTTGCTTTTCTGGCGGGGACAGTCTTTAAATGAAGTGAAGTTTATGTCGATGGTATAAGTGGCATCCACCTTATTTTATGAA